ACCACCCTCAACTGATTGGAGAGTCTGGGGTCGGATTTGTGTTGCTTGGGGCCCTGTTCTCCCCTGTTCTCCCCTGTTCTCGGCGGCGCGTGCCAACTCGGACGCGACGCTTTTGGGGAACCTCGCTGCGGACGAACCGGGCGGACGGCGTCCGCCGGAACAAGCTCCCCCAGAACGAACCGGAGCTCCAACGGACTCCCTCTTCGATCGGCTGGAGCTGAAGCCCAAGACCCGCTCGATCGGCACCCTTCGATTCCTCCGACCTCGACCTCTGGACCTCGCCGATTCCTCCGACCTTCCACACGGCGAAGGACACCGAGCCGAGCCTGTGTGAGCTGCTCCAGAAGGGCGACGAAGCCCTGGCCGCACTTCGGTTCCGGAGAGATGAAGGCTCTTCGAGTTGATCGACCAAACCAGCAGAGGTGGGTCAGAACCCTAGTTCGACTTGGGTACTATCCTAGTTGGGTACTCCTGTAGGGTCCTAGTTCAGGTGACTGGCTACCTCTGTAGGAATAGCCCAACATGCGTGGCTCACCATTGCGTTAATAGCCTGAATCCCGCCAAAAAGGACAGCTGTTTTACGCAAGACCAATTATATAAGTAATAAGCTTGCCTGAATCCCCCCCTTTACAAAACGAGATCAACATAGATCGACCATCTTCTAAAATGGTCGAATGGACTGGACTTTCAGAGAATTCTGCATGCTTTAGTATAAGAATGTACAACCCAAAAACCGCTCCCCCGCAGCCTCCAGGGCCGCCCCGATCCGCCCCAGATCCTCCCCGTGATCAGCCGAACAACTGCGTGTGGCGGCTCCACTCGGATCCACCTTGCGGTAGTCCGCCTTGCCCATTTCGCGCATCCTCGGGGCGAACCGTCGCCGCCGCAGGTGGACGGATCGACGCAGCGGTTCGTCGTGCCCGAGTGCCCGGGGGAGGGCGCCGCCTGAGACTGCTCCACCCCGTGGCTGCAGCCCCAAAAAGGGAGATGGTGCTGAAGGGGCAGAAACTGGGGACGAGCCCATGTGTAGCTTGTGTGTTTATATGCTTGGATGGATGGAGCCTCCTCACTATCCTCACTGCAGTGGAACTGTTTTGGGGGGAAGGATGGGGAAGGCATCCTAACCGGCCCAGTCGTCCAGTCTGACCCAGTAGAACCTGGTCTTTTACAGTAGCCCTGGAAGTCCAGTCGACCATGTTTACAATGGTTGATCTGGTTTTGTAGTGTAATTAAAAGCTCTTGGTAAAACAATGTGGTTGTGTGGTAAAAGCTATTGAATAAATGCTGGTTCGACTTCTAGGGGTAATGCTTTTACATGGCCTTTGACCGGTAGGGTACTGCATCCTACCTCCTACATCACCCCAGATGAATTCGATGGAAATTGCGTCCAGAAAAACCTGCTGTGTTCCTCGCCTGAAAACGACCGGACCTAGCCACCATCCATGACGCCCCTCGCATCATGATGGCTCTGACTCATTCAGAAACCTCCCCCTTGGGGACCACCAGGTCTGGGCACCAAAACTGCGTCCAAGCAAGAAGAATCGCACGTCTGACGGGGAAGAACTCGCTCTCATCCCAAGCGGCGTGTATCCATCTGGAAGGGGCGGCGCCGCCTCCTCACGCGTTTTTTCCGCCCAAGCAAGGAGCACAACCAACAGAGGTCAAGTGACCGTAAATAGGACCCTACAGGGGTACCCAACTAGGATAGTCTATAGGGTTCTGACCCACCTCTGCTGGAAAAGAAGCACACGCGTTCAGTCAGGACCCCCCACACGACCTGTCTGGGACTGCCAGCCAGGACTGCCGCCCCAGACAGACCCCCCCGCAAACCACCACCACCACCCCAACCGATCGACAGTCCTATGGCAGTCCCATTAGTCGTGTCTGGGGGATGTCCTTTTGCGATCCAATGGCGTGGAACATGCAATCCTGAACCACACAGGATCAGGAGAACCACTTAAGACTTAAGAACCAAGAACCGCTCGAACCGCTTGCACTACAAGGCTGTTCAAACCGTCCAACAACCTTCGACCTCCCTGCCGAGGCTTCGACAAGACTGTATGTTCATAGACGGATTGAGACCTCCGCCAGGGCCCTTCCCAACCCAGACCTGGCATGGATGGGTGCTGGTATATGTTGCCCCACTGAAGTAAAGGAAGTTCCTTTGGGGGGGGCACCTAAAGACCATCACGCGTCTCACGACCAATCTCCCCGCCTTCTCCATGGTCAGTCGGCGGGAAAAGCAGGTCTCTGGTGGAAAAAAACAGCGCGACGATCGCGGAAGACACGGTCCGATGGTTTTGCATACTGTGTTGCTAAAACACAACAGTGCAGGGTCGACGCTATGCATGAGTTCTGCGACTGGCTCTTGAGAACCTACCAAGAAGACACTTTGCTTGAGAGGACGAGCAATTACAGTGGATGAGTGGATGAGTAGAACAGGTTTGGTGGAAAATCGCGACGAGAACGCCGCAATGGAGACTCGGATCTTCTAAACCTTCTGACTGGTTATGGAGAACCTGATGCAGAAAGCAGCTTGACGGCGAAAAGAATGTTCGTTCTCCCTGGTCCATGAGATTGTTTAGGCCTTAAGCAGCAAATGGCGAGTCTGCTTCGGCTTCGCGGCTGCGATGCGTTTGGAAGCGATGCCAGCAGAATTTGACCTGTGACACATGGGGCGTGTATTCGTGTTTAAAAGGGAGACACCCACTTGGTTCTTCAAAGTGACCTTTTGATAACCTGGTTGGTTTGGTCACTTAAGCCTCCGAGTAGGGTCACGAAAAGGAACCTTCAAGAGGTGTCTTTTGAATCAGGGAGACACCCAACCAATGGATTTTGGCACAACCAAGACAGGTAGGTCCAGGTAGCTTAAGCGACCGAACGAAGAGGACCCCGGAACACGTGGGGGTACCCTGAAAAAAGTCGAAGGGCGTCGGGTTCGAACCTCGCCGGATCCACGTGACACCAACCAGTGGAGGGGTTGGGGAGCCTATTGCGGAGACCACACATGGGGCTGTCTAGATATAGTTACGCCCTTTTTTCCCACGTTTGACCCACACCCAAGAAGGTGGAGCTTTTCCAAAAGATTATCTTTTAGATCTTTTGGAGTGCCTCGCCAAGAGTGTTAAGAGACTACCAAGAGAAGTAAGTGGTTCTGGAGCCCATAATTGTCATCTTCTGGCCCCCAAGGCCCTCTCGAAGGCCATGGTGAACCTCACAGCCAATGTATACCTTAGAAGAACAAAGACTCTGAAAAGAATGGTCTGACTAGGGGAACTGAGTCTGGGAACTTCCTTTACTTCAGCCGGTCAAAATATAGTCGAACTGGACTTCTAGGGTATACCTTAGAAGAACAAAGACTATTACACTCCCGAGTCAACTCATGACTGTCTGGCTCCCTGGGTCCAAATGCTTTCCTCTACCAACCAGTGGTTGTCAGGGTCCATGGGATCGTCTTCCAGGGTGTATATTCTTGACCGACTGAAGTAAAGGAAGTTCCCTCTTCCTTCCCTGTCTGGTCCCCCTAGTCAGACCCTTCTTTTATAATCATACTCTTTGACTCCCAGGGTGGGTCGGAGTCGAGTCCATTCGATGATTTCGCGTCCGGAGTCCTTCGACCTTTTTGTTGCATCGAACAAGAAAAGGCCTTTCCTGAAACCCTCGGTCCACAAGAACCTGCCGAACCGTCACCAAAGGAGACCAACACAGGGTCCTTCCCAACCCTCAAACTAGCAGACCTGGTTTTTGGAGGACGCTGGTGGCGAAGATGTTTGACAATGAAGGCGGGGGAAGTGCACACACACACAATTGAATCGAAACACCTCTTCACATTGAGGGTTCAGTCTACATCACCTCTGCCGCTCCATTGTCGCTTTCCTTTGAGCTGCGAACTCTCAAGCACTTCTTGCTGCTGCACTTCTTGTGCAACTGCAGGTGAAAAGTTCTCCCAGCCCCCTCCTCCTCCATCCTCGGTCATCCAAACGGACCGGTCGGATGGGCGCCCTTCCCACCTCACCCACCTGACCCCCCCCCCCCATCCGCCCGCGCTCCCGCCACGACCCAAGAGCACGGGGGACGACGCGGGGGGTCCGCGGGGGTCCGCTCGTCGTCCAGCGGCGCCCGTCCCTTTGGCGGGAGAAGTCGCCGTCCGTCGGGAGCCGGGTGGTTCTCCCGCGGTCACGCGAGGGTTGGTGGAAAGGCGGCACCGCCCGCTTCGCGCGCGTAAGTTTCACGCATGAGAAGTTGCCAGGGTGAGAGGCTTGGCTGCTCAGTAGATGGACAGGGCCAAGGAGGTACTGGTCCAGCTATGGGTGGCCTCAGCGATCACATGCAGCGCTGATCCTACGCCGGTACTATCGTGGCGTGATATCCGCCCGCCGCAAGGGAGGGAAGGAGGTGCATCGTGGATCATTGCGGGTGTTTTCCAAACATCCCAAAGCACTTGAGTCACTCGAGCTGAAGCCTCCAATTGATGCTTTTTTCATGTTCTTCCAAACCAAGTCAGCTCCCTTCCGCCAAACCAGATCCCAACAAGCCTCCCCCAGCCCTTCCCCCGCAGCCACCATCTGAGCCCTCCCAACCGAGCTCTGCATGCGTCCCTCCTCCACGCCCAGCACACTCAGCGCGCCCAGCGTGGAGCCCCGCTCCGCGCGCTCCGCCTTACCTGCGAAACCGGAAAGAGCGGGGAGGTGGAACGGAAAGATCTTCAGTGGGGTGCCATGGCACGGATGAGACAAAAAGAGCAAAGAAATCGCACATATACCAGGACACCCCAGGAACCCGGGTGGTTTTGCTGCACACCCCGAGTCACCTATAAGCAGCTATCAATAGACACCCCCTGGTCCGACTTGATAGATTTCTCATGCTTGATCTGCTCACTACTTTTCTCAAGGCGTTCTC